GCTGCCATCTGTTGACAGTTTATATGAACTAAATGATGTGGAAGGAATCCGTGTTGGCAGTAGGTGATAAAACAAACAACTCATCGTCTGAACTGTTTGAAATAAGAGCAAGTAGAAACAATAACAGAGTTAAAATAATACTATAAGTATTGAAGAAGTTTTTAGGAAGCAATTATATAAACATTTTGGTAATTTTATTAGTTTTCAGTTTTCAAGAGAGATGCGAGGATCGCTGGCCGAAATTCTTCGATTCAAGCGAACGTAGTTCTCAGAACACACACCACGCTGTTTACAGCTATCCCAGTATATCAGTTTAGCGATTTTCTAACGGGGAGGTGCATAGCATGCCAGAATACAAAGTAGCAGAGCGTGCTTTGTCATAGCAGGCTGAAATTTTTCTGCTGTGTATTCAGTAAGTTAAAAATTAGAAGTTGCTTTATTTATCTTCACTCTTTGAAATTCTTAGGATTTCTTCAGATTTTAATGGCAAGGAAACTGCTATTACATTAAATTTTTGGAAAAAAAAAAAAAAACTAACAACATATACATTTTTAGATCTGCCATTTTCGATTTTTGCTTAAGATTACAGATTAAACTAAAGAAAATTATTATCTTTTTAAATTTATCTTTATTTATTATCTTTTTAATTATTATCTTTTATTCATTACGCTACTAGAGCAGATATAACTTTTCTTCTTTTTTTTAAAAAAAATTCGTATGCTAGGAATATTGAAATTTTGAAAGATATTCGCATATTTAACGTTTTTAGTGAGCTTAATTGGATAAAGTTAACGCAAATATACTTAACATTTGTTTTTCAAAAATGTAAGTTTTACGTTTTGTTTTCGTGATTTTGTGCCATTTTTATGAACATTCGCATAGAGCTTTTTTGTTTTTTTTGTATATTCTCCATTCTGAATTTTTCCCATTTTTGATAATGAATGCGAGTATTTTTACTTCCTTGTACGAAGTAAAGGAAGTATTCTAAACACGAAAAATTTCGGGTACCATATTTCTACGAAAATATCCATTTTGACCGCTATCGAATGCAATTTAACGATGCTTTACCTGACATCTGTAAGTAAAGACAGAATAAAGGACTCTTTTTCTCCAAGCGGAATTATAAAACTGATTTAAAATGGATTGAAAAGAGATTTTTTCGTAGAGTCTGTACGTACGTATGTGTCTCACATAACTCAAAAATGAGTGTCTCAGAACGTTGAAATTTTGTATATGGGACGGTTATTACATGTAGTTGTGCACCTCCCTTTTTTGTTACAAATGCTGCATAAAAAGTATATAAGCATATATACACAGTAACCAACTCTGTTACTCGGCTCAGTGAGCTCAATTTTTTGTATTCTTATATGTTGGTAAATTGTGCATTTTTTGCTTTAAAAAGGATTGACTTATGTTGTTCTTATCTTTCGGTTAAGTTTTTTTTTTTTTTTTTTTTTTTTTTTTTTTAACCTTGTGGGTTGGCAACTAAGTAATTGCGGATTTTTTTTTTTAGAAAATCGATAGACAATTTTTTCATGGAACTAAATAACATTATTCTGTAATGTATTACCCATTTTGATCAATGACCTTTTGCCATCTTTCAGGTAGCATCATTGCAATCCCATGTTCATAAAACGCCTGGTTTTTATTAGCTAAAAACTGAATCAGGTACGATTTGACATCATCATCATTATTGAAATTTTTACCATTCAAGGAGTTTTTGTAAAGATCGAAAAACAAAAAGTAATCAGATGGTTGCAAGGTCAGGACTATATGGTGGATGTGGCAAAACATCCCAACCGAAACTCCAATAATTTTTTGCCTAAGTGACCAAAGATGTGTGCGTGGCCTTGTATTCGTCATGATAGGAATACAACACCTTTTCCGATTTGTCAATTCGAGCCGCTTTTCTTCAACTGCATTGTTTAATTTCGTTAGTTGTTCAATGTAGACATCAGAATTCGATCGTTCGGTTGGGTGGTAAGAGTTCAAAGTAGACAATTCCTTTGCAATCCCAACCAAACTGATAACAAAACCTTCTTTTGATGAATATCAGCTTTTGATGTTGTTTGAGTTGGTTCACCTGGCCTGCTCCACGATCTTTTCCGCTTGATATTGTTGTAAACAACAAGCCATTTTTCATCGACAGTTATCAGTCGTTTTAAAAATGGATCATTTTCATTACGTTTCATTACGTTCTTTCTTTAGGGATCATTTTCATTACGCAAATCGCAGCTGTTAATGCGTTGCGTTAAATGCGTTTTCCTTTCATTGTTCGTGAGGAACCCATGTATCGAGTTTTTGAACAGAACACAGCCAAGTTGTTTTAAGTGATTTTCAATGCATGTATGTGATACATGAAGCTTCTCTGCAATCTCACGTGTTGTACTGTGACGATCCGAATCGATTATTGCTTTGATTGAGGTCGTCATCAACTTCAACTGGACGACCAGAGCGTTTTTCATCTTTGAGTGAAAAATCACCAGAACGAAATTTGGCAAACCAATTTTGACACTGCCGTTCTTTTAAGGCTTCGTCACCATAAACAGCACATAACTTTTTTATGATCTTGCGATGCGTTTTTTTTCCCTTTGCGGAAATAAAAAAGCAAAATATGACGAAAATGTTCCTTTCGATTTTCCATTTTTCAACGAACGCCCAAACGAAAAACTACGCAACAACCGATCAAAAAACTTTTTTTACTTATTGACAGCTGAATTGCCAACTATCAAATAACAAAATGTGTTTTACATTTGTACTACGTCTGCAACCCTAAAAATTCAACTGAAGCCATCTCTGAGTGAAATCCGCAATTACTTAGTTGCCAACCCATAGTTAATTTGTCTGCAATAGTTGTAGAATTATCAATAATTTAATGGTTAAGATACAATAACACGCCGAACAAATATTAATTTAAAAGTCAAACAACAGAAATCAGCATTATATTTTCAAATTTCACAGAAAGCGAAATGAAATTTGAAAATATAACGCTGATTTTTGTTGTTTGACTTCTAAATTAATAATTTAATGGTTGTTTAAGTTCGGCTAAGCCTAATTTGTTTTACTGTAGCAGCCATATTTGTTTACATTTGAAATTTAGCAGAATAGTGCATTAAGTTTTCCTGCACCTTGAGTGTCTTTTTGCCGAGTGGGACCAAAAGTAAACTTTCCGTTTTGTGCACCGAAAAGTCTGCCTTCTTGCCCGTAACCACTTACTTGTTTCTGAGTAGAAATTGTAATTTTAATCGTAAAAATGATTTTTTTTATTATTGTTTTAAGTATATTTAGTGTTTTATGTTTTCTATACCTTTCAATTTTAATGAAGATATATTGAGTTTTTATGTATTTTTGCTTTGCCGCGACGTGAGAGCTGAATTAATTGAATGAGAAATCTATCTCTAACGAAACTCGAGGAAATAAATTTAATTGAAATGCAGGAAAAATGCGTATAATTTAATATTCTATGCAAGGAAGTCATGTGGTGTACATGTTACCGTGACAGACCGAAATTGGAGAATGCCGACTTTCACCGGAGAACGTCAACATTCACCAAATACGTCGGTGAAAGATCGAATATTGCATTACATTCTTGCACATTCGGACCTTCACCGAAGCATGCCGAAAATCACAGATATGCTCTGGTGTAGGTAGAAAAGAGAGGAGTATATGTACACGCTTTGTCATTGCAAAAAGGAAGTATTCCACAAATAAATGCAGTTGTAAAAGCAAGGGCCTCTTGTGCAATTCGAAGTGTCATAATAGTTTAAGTCGTTGCAATAAATAAGATTTGAATCACATAATTTAGTAAGTTTTTAACTTCTATTATTTTCCTTTCTCATTTTGAATGTATTGTGTGTGTTTTAGGTTCTCATGTTCTTAAGTTCTTATTTCAAGTTTCAAGTGCGTTTATTCGCGACTGAATTACGGAGAAGAAAATATAATATTGTTATATGTTCAACATTCACCATTAGTACATGGTGAATGTCGACATTGACCGGTGTAAGTCAGAAATAAGAGTACTTGAAAATATTTCGGACATACACCAAGCGACTACGTGAATGTCGACATTCTCCAGATTTCGGTGTTTCACCGTAACATGCACATCAACTTTATTATCTTCCGAACAATCTCGAGCTGTTTGGTTTGCATTTTACTACAAGAGACTATCTAGAGGGTATCATATGATGGCGGTACGTTCATGAACTCGTGGATGAGATGGAGGGAAGGTTAAACATGAAAACGATGAGAGAATTATCAGAATCTAATAATACTTTTCTTCTTTCTCCGAATATGCTGGGGATTAATTGTTTTCAACAATTATGGACCCGAGTGGTGTCGAAAATTGAAAATCCATAAATTGTAACCCTAGTCATTTTTTAGGTTGTAATTTTTTTAATTATTTATTTTATTTTATTTTATTTTATTTTATTTATTTATTTTTTGTATGAAATGCTTATAGTTGCATCTGACAATCATGTGCACGCACGAATGAAAAGGATGCATAAATACTGAGTTGATGCGACTGAAATGTACGATACGAACTGTGGAAACAGACTCATGCCACAATTATTGTCCCACTGAAGTGATGGATCACAATATTTTGCTAACATAAAGCACAGAACGTTAACATTACATTTGGCATGGATATGGCTAATGAGCATAATATTATGCTTCTAGTACATGACATGTTATGCTGGTAAAATGACACTTGGAAATGAATTGCATGGCCGCCGATCGAAACCAGATTTAGATGAACTAAACTAAACATTTAATAAAAGGAAGATTCCATTTCTTATGCTTTAAATGCACATGAAAATTTGACAAATTAGGATATTTCCTTTTTTAAACTTTAAATATTTCATATAAAGCATAAAATTTCCTCTTGTTTCTATTCTGAAATTTTGAAGAATAAATTTGCCTATACTAAATTTTTCAAATGCGTAGAACAACTGATCTTTCCTTCTCTCTCTTATAAGGTATTTCTCCAGCTTTCCTAGCGTGCCTTCGTGGTGTAGTGGTCAGCACACTGGACCGGTATTCCAGAGGTCCGTGGTTCGATTCCCGGCTAAGGCATCGCTCATTTTTCATCTCTTCTGCCTTAAAAAATAATCCTAATGTCTCTACAGCGTATGTTTTTCTCGCATCGTGATAAACAACGGTACCTAGGGCCATCCAATTTTGTATAACGTAATCCTCCTCCGAACATGAGCAAGTGGAAGCCCAAATTTGGAATTTGTTGTATTATCGATTTCATATTTTGCAACATTTCAACGAATTTTCGATGAAGAAACTCAACGATTTCAAAGCGAGCAATGGCAACACTGTACAAAGCAAACAAACAAACAAAACCAAAAAAAAAAAAAAAAAAAAAAAAAAAAAAATTATCTCCAGCGCGTGAGACTGTATATCGGAAATTCTAAAGGTATGCTCATTTTAAAATTATTTTGCGATTTTGCAGCTGAATTGACTTTTTATGGTTTCAGTGCGACGAACATGGTATTTAACAAATAAAGGTAGCGCAGGAAACCTTAAAAAACGCCTCTTTGGGCGTGATGTAAAATCTGATAGCTTTGAGATTCTGATTTCAGATCTGAAGGCTTTCAGATTTTTTCGTTAATTATTTTTAATTCTTTTATTCAATTCCCCCCCCCGAGAATTTTTTTGATTAGTTCGTCGTTTGTCTTCTTGCGGGATTTAGCTATTTGGATATTTATTTCGTTTCCATAGTTTTTCATTTCATTGTTTCTCTCTAAGAAGTCGGTGAGTTTTAATTTTCCGTTTCTTTTTCAATTTAGATTTTGATTTAATACCGTACAAAGACCTTTTGCTTCGGAAGAAGAGGGACCGATATCATTTACTCACCAAATTAATAGTTTTATACGAATTCTGCACCTAGTTATGGTTGCTTGCTACCTAATTACGCATTTTTGAATTTTTGTTACATTTAATATGGCCGAGTTCTTGACCGTCACGAAGAATACTTGACGTCTGTTTACTCCAACGCCAGCTTAATTTTCAAGTCAGATGCTCTTTGCTTCGTGCCCGCTTTTCTAAATAGTAAACAAATTGCATGGCTGCATTTATTCTCTTGCCACCGTTCTTTTAATTTCCTCCAATGAAATAAGTCAGTTCTCATTCATAAAAGTAAGAGCCGTCTGACAGAAATCATTCATAATTTACAATCGTATCATTCATTTCTATTTCTTCCCTTTCAACTCCTTTTTCCTTTTTTTCCCAGTCCCTAGTTTTGTTTAATTAAGCTTCACAATGTTAATTGGCGACCTCCTGGCGATATTGGCGACCTTTGAACTGGAGCAGAGAATCGCCGTAGACAGCTCCCTGGGGGTCAGGGTGGGAAAGGATAAGCGGAGGGCGCCATCCTGGCGACGATAGATGCCTGGTACTCACTTCTTGCGTGAGCAGTTGATTGACTGTCGGGAATACTTGCTAGTAAAGAACAATGAGGCACTATTTATTTATGAAGTGAAGAAATGTTAAGACTCAAATTTTAAACTATTTTAAATCTAACTTAAAAAAAAAATCTGAAAGCATTCAGATTTTATATTACGCTCAAAAGGCCGTTTTTTTTTAACGTTTTGTATGTTACTTTTATTTATTAAATATCATGTTCTTCTCACTTAAACCGTAAAATTCAATTCAACGACAATATCGCAAAATGTTTAAAAGCAGCGGAACAGCATATCTTTAGAATTTCCGATAGACAGTCTCGCGAGTTAGAGATATAAGCGTTTTTTTTTTTTTTTTTTTTTTTTTTTCATACAGTGTTGCCACTGCTCGCTTTGAAATCGTTAAGTTTATTAATCAGAAATTCGTTAGTTTTACAATATTTGAAATAGATAATAAAACAAATTGAAAATTCGAGCTTCCGAGTGCCCAGGTTCGGTTGGAGGACTACGTTATTCAAAAATTGGACGGCTCAAGGTACCGTTGTTTCTTCACAGTGCGAGAAATATTCATGCAGATTCTTCATTATTTAATTTATTTAAATATGGCGACAATATTTGGTGGGAACAGTTTGAAAAGTGACTAGACGCATATTGCCGTTTTGAAATTAACAGCCTTTAATTGCCGTTTTGAAATTAATAGCCAACATCTAATTTTTTATGAAAAATTTATTACATGTAAATAAATGTTTTGCTGCATTTTTTCACTTATATCAAAAAGGAGATAGTTAAAAAGGAACAGGAGAGAAAAATAGGGTAAGTGAAAAATTTGTATAATTTTTCTCGCGCCTACATAATGAGTGAAACGTTATTAGTGTGTTTGCTATTCAATTATCTAAACATAAGTTCACAGATCGATTCTAAAGTCCCCGTCTAGGAAAGTACCGTGTTTAATCGCGTAACACTCGCACATGTTTTGCAGATAGTTCATTGTGGAAGTCTTCTAAGTGCGACTATTGTGCGGCGAAATCTTCTAGACAATATTATACACTTCTGACCTTTTTTTCCTGCTTCAAAACGGGGATGTGACTCTTAAGTGAGGGCGACTATTACGCGAGTAAACACGGTAGTTGGCTGGAAGATTGGTAACAGATAATTGAAACTAAAAGTTGAAATATTAACAAGTGATAAAACTAGCCTACAGGGCTTAGCGAGATCCCGTAACTTAAACCCCCCTTTGAAGCTAGTGGCAGAAGATAAATGCAATTAAGCCGCCTTAAACCAGCAATAAGCAAACGTTTCCTACGTCAGAGACGGCGACTAGAGCCTAACTTTCCTTTTCTCCTACCGAAACTCGGCTTCTAACTACTTCCTACAAAGTAGAAAATTTGCATTCGTTCACGCGCGCTACAACATTTACCTATTCTGGCACTGACAATTAAGGGAATGGAGGCTTACAGGAAAGATCTAAATTCAAACTTTAAGTTGTAAAATAAATATAAATCCCTACAACTTATAAGTTACTTTTGCGAGAAGGCTTTGGAGTACCATATGTCATAAAATTATAAATTTAAATACGTTAACCAATTAGCAAATCATAAAAGGACATTATTCAACACTATGAGCATTAAAAGGTTTAAAAAAAAATCTGGAATTTTTTCAGTTTTATTTAACCCACCCTTCAAGAAATATTTAACCAAGTTAACCAAGTTTAACCAATTATGGTTAACCAAGTTTAACCTTAATTTCAAGAAATATTTAAGAATTATTTAACCCACCCTTCAAGAAAAGCTGGACAGGACACTAAAAATCTCAGCAATCTTGGCAAATTTTTGTTGTACAAGTGCCAGTTTTTTTTTGTGTGTTTTATGTTCTTTTAGAATGAGTATTACAGACTTTTACTAAATATAACTATAGAGACCAAAAGACAGTACAAAAAGTTACATTTCGTAATTTTTGCAATATCCTTTAATTTAAAAATTCTAAAACTTGAATTTGAAATATTTTTGTAAATAAATGGTGTATGGTGTTTGGTGTATTTAATTATGGCAAAGCACACAAGGGCTATCTGCCTAAGGGGAGGGATGCCTTCGTGGAGGACTTTCTAAGGGAAGCTGGCTCGTATACACGTTACACATGGGAAAAACCACGAAAACGCCCATGCAGCCAGCCCGTTCGCGGGATTCGAACCTCGGACCGAACTACCAGTGTTCAGCGACTTTACCGCTCGGCCGCTGGTGGGCCTGTAAATAAATGGAAGTAAATGTTTACGACTAACGGCCCATAAGGACTTTTGTGGACACTATAAACAAACAAACAAACAAATAAACGAAGGAATATGCTTATGTACCCACGTATTCTTGCTTTACCAAGCCTTAGAAATTGTTTACTATTTAAAGACGCTCACGGACTCAAGCACGCTATCGAAAATAGCTCTTTCTTATACATATTGAGCAAACGCCTTCGCCGGAAATCGAACCGCCGACCTATGGAATACGCGACCAGCGTGCAGACCACCACACCACGAAGGCGAGAGAAATACCTTATAAAATAACGAAGCATAGCGGTATTGCGAGTTCGTAAGTGATGGTAGAGCGCGAGCAGTAAATGGACCTAAAAGAGCATCCTGATGACATAAGATGATTGACTTCACAAACTATTCGCTACTTACAATAACAAATACGAAATATCGTGATATGATTGATACGTGAGCTTAAGATAAGAAGGTGATACGAATTTTCAAAACTTCGTAAGTAGGCATTTTTAGAGTAAGGTAAAATATTTCTAGACTTACCTAAGGAATCTGAAGTTTCGGAAATGGTAAACATGTAGCCCGAAAAAAGTATTAATATTTAAGTAGTAACCATAAAATTTTTTAAGGGGGCTCATACACCTTAAGCCCCTTATGATCTTCGAATACGTGACTGTTGCAAGAATTTGGATATTTTATTTATTTTAAAAGCAATTACTTCCAACTTTTTGCAGCTGACTGCATAATATATCTGCTTTGGAAGCTAGTAACCACAAAGTTTGTGTTGCCACAAATATTTTTGCTATTTAATCTGCTTTGTGACAACATTTTTCGTCATGTTTCCACCTTGCGCGCATGATATTTTAAAAATGGCTAATGGTACATGCTTGAAATTTGATAGAATTCTTTATATGGGCACTACTTTCTAACAGAACCAAAAATCTGATGAATATTTTAATATTAAAAAAATTTATGCACGAAAACATAACAGATTTTTTTAATAAAATACATTTTATAAGCTCAACTCCAAATAAAATAAAAATTTAACATGAAATTGTTCAAATTTTTGGTTCACAGTATTTTCCAAATGTTATAAAAGCAAAATATTAAATATGGAATTTAATTATGCAACAGAATGTCTTAAATTGTGCACGCAAGATGGCAACATAACGAAAAGTTTTGTCACAAAGCGGATTAAATTATAAAAATATTTGTGGCAAAACAAACTTTCTGATTACTATTTTAGAAAGCAGCTATATTGTGTAGTCAGCTGTAAAAGGTTGGAAGTAATTGCTTTTAAAATAAATAAGTAATCCCAATTCTTGCAACAGTCACATATTCGAAGACCTTATTTGTCTTAAAGTGTATAAGTTCCCTTAAAGTCCTCAATGGGAATTTTCATAATTTTAACTATGATG